ACTTTAATTATATTTGGATTGTTAATAGGATAATGTAAAAACTTGCCCGTGCACTTGTATCGTTAATTTCTACTTGAAAAATAATGTTCTAGATAAGATGCGCGGCACTATTTTACTTGTAACTTAAACTTATTAACATTAAAAGAGTTGAAAATTTATTTTTCTACCTGAAAAATTAACGATTTCCGCTAATTGACATTAAGTAACAGCTTTGTGGCTTTGGAGAAATACAATTTTAAATACCCTAGCTTAATTTTAATTAGGTAGAATCAAAAGTTTAAATAGGGAACAGTTCAAGGATCACCTACTTTTAGAATTGAAAGAGCCATGTTAAAATTCAAGGTAGTATTGTAGCGACGTAAGCCAAATTCGTTGAATTATTTGGAAGGAAGTGTCGCCATCTTACGGTCACATTAGGTAATACAAAACAAGGGAACATTTAAACTTATTCATACTCCGTTTTCACGTTATCGTAGAAATAGAATTATCTTTGTTAAGGAGGTCCTTTCGCCACACCTCTCGCCTTAAATGTTAAAAAAAAAGTTATTAGATTCTGACTAAAATCAATTTTTTTCTAATAGTTGAAGTCCTTATTTATCTAATACTGAACTTTTAACTATACCTTACCTTGCAAATTTTTGAGAATTTTTTTTTAAAAAATGTGAGTATTTGTACAGTGCCTCACGAGAAAGTAAGTCCTCAACAACAATTCTCGAATTATACTATTATTTATTGATTAGATGGAGTAGAAAAAAACTAAAAATAAGGTTTTTGAAATATTTAGATTTTGTTTTATACAATAAAATATATATAGTAAACCGTGGAACTAATTGAGAAATTAATATTAAAAAATCACAAAAAATTTTCAAGTAACCTAGTTGAAAATTTTTTAATAATAATTTCTCAATAAATTCCACTGTAACCTATATATTTTATTGTAAAAAACAAAACCTAAATATTTCAAAAACCTCCATCTAATCAATAAATAATAGTAAAATTAATTATAATTCGAAAATTGTTGTTGAAGTCTTACTTTCTCATAAGAAACTGTACAAACACACACATTTAAAAAAAAAAATCTAAAAAATTTGCACGGTAAGGTATAGTTAAAAGTTCACTATTAGATAAATAAGGACATCTACTATTAGAAAAAAAAAATAATTTTAGTTATAATCTAATATTTTTTATTTAACATTGGTGGCGAAAGGACCTCCTTAAAATAAAGCAAAAAATAAGTAGTATAAACCAATCCTAACTTGACTACAAGTTTAAATATTTTATTAAAACACAAAAAATTCAGAATCATGATCAACAAAATTATTTTATTTAAACAAAAACAAAAACTTTTTTTTTCACCGTTTGACACTCTCTGTATTTGGAATAAACAATTACAACTACTTAATTTAGTTATAAACTACAATATAATCAAGCAGCATAATATACAAAGTAACATCTTTTTGTAATAAATTATTTCAAAGTATCAAAAATTTGTATTTAGTCAGTGTTAATTTAAATTTGCTTTCCTGAACATTCTTCTAATTGTGACTTGGACCCTTTTTTCCCTGCACCCTTCAAATATTTTAGGTAATACAGAAAATGAGACATAAATAAAAAAAAGGTACCCTGAGTATTACTTTCCTGACTAGGCTGTTTTGTCTTCCACAATGCAATACTGCCGGTCCAAACGGCTTGACGAAAGTTTGTACTAGGACAAATAAAAAACAGGAAAAGTAACAATCCTAATAAAATTATTATAAAAATCAAATGTGTTAGGCAGCAGAGAAAGTGAGGCATGAATAAAAAAAGGAACAGTAACTATCCCTTCCCTGAAATTAAACATTTTTAATTTAAATTTAAAGGAAAATTGTAATTAAATATCGAGAAATCACAAATCGAAATCGGAAAAATCAGTATGTCTGAAAAACAAGTGGCTGAAATAATTTCGAAATTTGGAAACAAATCTCAAAAATTTCCCTACGAATTATTAAGACCATCCCCGAAACACATACTTGGAGATTTGAATAAAGGCCTGCCGGTGCTGGTATTTGAACTCATATACCTTTTTTCTGTACACAAATACCCTACCTCTAGACCATCATCACATTGTCTGTACAGATTTCTAGAAGGCAGTTCGATGTGCTAATTAGAGCCAAGCGCCGTTTCAGGTTCGTTCTCAAATTTAAATGTATATGTTTTTTCTTTTATTTTATGTAGCTCAATGAAATCATACTGTAAGTATCGGTATAATGTAATGCGAGCCATTTCATTATTCATTTAATTTCATTATTCTAATCCTCCAAGTCCCTCTCTGTCTTATGCCTTTAAGGCTCATTTTTTTCGAGTCCAATATACAGAAACTAGACATGCTGAAGATAGAAGTAGATAAGCTGGAATGGAGGATCATTAGGAACATGGTGGAAGTAATCTTTTAAGATAACGAAGTCAAAATACTGGTCTGCAGCCATCCGCCCAGTGTCCAGGTTACAGCGAAGACAGTTCCTTGTTACTCCAATGGAACTGGAAATTGTAAAAGAGGGTTCAGTTGCAGATACAACCATTTTGTTTTAGTTTTGTAAGAGTTCCAGCAGGAACTATCTCTCAAGGAAGGGGCAATGTAATGCGAGCAATTTCATTATTCAGTTATTCTCTAATCCTCCAACTCCCTCTCTTATTTGGCTTTTGAGACTTAACTTGTCCGATTATTATACATAATTACACCCATTAAGACCAAACATATGTGACGACTATAGCTAAGACGCTTTAGAGTACATTCCAGATAGAACGTAATAATGTTTCTAGTTTTGGCGGGGAGCATTCTGGAATCTATCAGAATGTTCAATGTGTATATAAACATTGGTGGAGGATCACGGAGTTAGTTAATCGTATACAAACAGTTGTGAAAATAAATAGTTAACAGTTTAGAGACATTCGAATTTTATAAATTAGATTATTGTTTTAAAATAAATAGTTGTTCAAATGAATTATTAACAAATAAACTGTAGTTTAAAATACACAAACGTCACAATAACAATCAGTTAAATAAACTTTACCAGTGACGTACAACACGGAAAGTAACACTTTCATTCCCTCTAAATTTTACGCCACTGTCCAAAAACTTATTTGGATTATACTTTTAAATGTTTTGTTGTTTTTTTAAGTAAATTATGTATTCTTGTTGAGAACTCATAAAGTGATTGGTTTTCGAGATATTCACTCTTAAAAATGGCTTTTTTTCATTTCAATTTATTTTTTAATTTTGATTTTTTTTTAAATTGCACTAATCAAACGTTTTTTGTGTCATAAGATAGACTAATCACTAAAAAAATCAGTTAAATAAACTTTGCCAGAGGCGTACGGCATGGGTAAGTAACACTTTCAATCCTTCTAAATTTTACGCTACTCTCCAAACATTTATTTGGATTATAATTTTACATTTTTTTAAGTATTTCAAATAAATTATGTACTTTTGTTGGAAATTTATAAAGAAATCCAAAATTACAAAAGTAAAAATATATTAAAATGGCGAATGTCCACCTTTGAGTGTGAATATCTCGAAAACCAATCACTTTATGCAATCTCAACAAGAGTAGATGATTTATTTTAAAAACTTTAAAAAATTTAGAAGTCTAGTCCAAATAAGTTTTTAGACAGTAGCGTAAAATTTAGAGGGGACGAAAGTGTTACTTTTTCGTGTTGTACGCCAATGATACAATTCATTTAATTTATTTTTTGACACCAACTTTACCAAATTTAGCAAAATTATACTAAGAAATAAAAAAATTATAGCCTTTAATAATTTTTGAATTTTCAACTTTAACACCCTGTATTTCGGAAATCAGTAATATTTTATCTAAGTATGTTTCGTTTAATCGTCTTATTATTCATCAGAAAATCTTCAGTTGCTCTGTGTCCCATTCTTAATGAAAATGGTTACATTTGAATGGAAAAATTTTGGGGTGTTCATAGTTTTTGTATTTTTATGAAAATAGAATAGAGAAGCCGCCTTGTATACGTTGAAGCTTAGAGGTATACATATTTAAATAATATTACTTTTCCCAAAAATCAATTCATAAGTACTGGGTTTTGAAGTACCTAATCCTTAAAAAATAATTTTATATTGTGGTTCTCACTATAAAATACCATGTATAATAATAATAATATAATAATAATACTCTCCCTAATTCACCCCCTTACGAGTGAATTTTAACCCCAAAAGCTGAACTTGTCACGGGAAAGGGACGGCTATTATTATTATTTGCCGTGGCGCTCCGGGGCGACTTAAAGATGATTGATGGTGCCATTTGACTTACAGGTGAGGAAAACCCGGAAAACCTCACCCACCATCATCGAGACGGTAATGTATAGCGAATTTTTTTAATCTGCATGTCATATCAACAGAAATTGAATTTCTATTAATACGCCACACATCAAATCCTAAACCGAACCATGCAATTTAATTAAAAATCCACATGGTCTGGTCTGGGATTCGAAACCCAGCAGTCTCAGACTCATAAACTTGCCTATAAATGAATATAAGCGCGATAGACCGCTACACCACCGTGCCCGATTAAGAAATGTATATTGTGTTAATAATAATAATAATAATACTCTTCCTTATTCACCCCCTTACGAGTGAATTTTAATCCCAAAAGCTGAGCTTGTGCGGGACGGCTATTATTATTATTACTATTATTATTATTATTATTATTTGCCGTGGCGCTCCGGGGCGACTGTTACCAGTTATGTTACGAGTAACTCGTTGGGTATCAAATTTGTCACCTTAGTTGCTGTCAGGTTTAAAAAACCTTGTGAAAGGAATCTAAAAGTGGGTCCAAACCGGTGCAACAAACAGCGCAAAACGTTTGTGAACGTTGCAGAATATGTCAGTTTGGACGGTAGCGCGCTCAGACCTGCTCGCGCGCGCTCCATTTAGCGCGGCGCAAAATGTTTTCCAGGCGGTGTCGGTACATCAAAGAAATTTTGCTTGTTTGTGCGCTTTAGTTTGGACGTGAACTTGTTATTATTTGTTTAGATATAGAAAAAGACGGGCGCGTACATAAGTTTTGTGTATTTATATTATTATTATTTACAAAATAAATTGAATGTCAATTAAATTAACCTATTATTTTGAAAATGAATAATAACGAGTGGAACCGCGAGAGTTCTATACAATTAATAGAATTATATGAAGAAAGACCCGTTTTGTGGAATCCTAACAACAATAACTACCATATGAAGACTCTCAAATACGATGCCTGGAAAGAAATCGCTGATAAAGTAAAGCGGAATTTAAAGGATGTTAAACAAAAAATGACATCTTTACTATCCTCATTTAGACGCGAAAAACTGAAGATAAAAAAAGGAATGGGTACTGGCAAAGGTAAATAATAACACGGAGGGATCATTTTCAGTTATGGAAATATATTTGTTTTATTATTAATTATAGGTCGAGAAGATATTTATTTGAGCACTGGTTTGCTTTTAAAAAGTTTAGCTTTCTCTTGGACAAGAATAAACCCAAATACACTGTCAAAACCGTAAGTTATGAAATTTTTATTATTTTTTATAGTTTAACATATATCTTAGTCTATGTCTGCATGTTTTTACATTATCTAATAACTGAAAAGTAAATTGTAAATAAGAAATAGGTATTCAAGAATAATCATCTTGCCACTGAACTCGTCCATTACCTATAAAGTATTCTGCTAATTCTCTTCTGATTTCTTGTACATTTATAGATTTTCGTGGAATATTCCTTATGTTGAGAAATGAGCTAGTTTCTGTTTGTTCTAGTTGGACGTTATTCGGAAAATCAGGAGAAGTGCATAAACGGTTTGACGTCGTACTATTTTTTAAGAAGTTATGTAGATGTATGGTAGATAACACAACAAGAGTTGCTTTCTCAGGGTCTAAAATGATTGGTTTTCGGAGTACTCTAAAAACAGCCGATAGAATCCCGTAAGCATTTTCTACAATTCTCCGTGCTCTGGATAGTAGGGGCTGCGGTTTTGGAATATTTAATTTTTTTCCTTCAATCAGTTTCCATAAAGAACATTTTTTAAAAACTCCTCCGTCTGAAATGCGTCCCTGACACCCTACGTTTGCAAATATAAAATTATAATTTGCGTCCACCAAAGCAAACAAAACAATGCTAAAAAACGATTTATAGTTAAAATATTCACTTCCGCTGCGAATGGGCGCCTGTAGGACTATGTGTTTTCCATCTATGGCGCCTAGGCAATGCGGAAATTCCAAAGTTCTTCAAATTGCTTACTATGTTGTAACCATTCCTCTGGATTGGCGGGAAGCTGAAAAAAAAAACAAAGGAAAGTGGGTTAAAAATTTAATTAAGAAAATTAACAGGTTTTTTCAAGGAAATCAATGCTTTTTATTATGTTGCAGATTAAGAAAACTGAAGAAACAAACAGTAACAATGAAATACTCGACGATTCAGGATCAGAAGTAACTGCCGAATTTAAAAATCACCCGGAAGAAATTGGTGACGAAACTATAAATGTAGTTGAAGAAACCCCCGAAGAAACCACTACACGAAAACATACCGAACAATTTGTGTCTCCTAAAGGGACACTAAAACGTAAAAGGGTAGACAAACAACAGCAGGATTTGAGAGTGGCCGAAGCATATGGAATTTTGAAAAACATTTCATCAAAAAACAACCAAAAATGAGTGTTTAACGTTCGGAGATTTTATTTCATGTAAATTACGAAAATTCGACAACTGTGTTCGAGCAATTGTTATGCATAATATGAACAAAATACTTTTCGATGCAGAAATGGGCAAATACAAAGCCATTCCAGCACAACATTCCGGATTTCCGCATAAACAAAAATCGTATTACAATTATCATACAGCATCATCATTGTCGCCTATTTCAGAAAGTTCCCAAAACAGTTATCAATAGTTACAGCCATACCAAACTGTTGAAGGAAGTAATTCACACCTTGCAGACTTTCATTCAAGGTTTTAATGCATAAATTTAATGTATGATATTTATTCTTAAAAAATAAAGCCTTACCTTTATGTTATCTTTTAATGCTTCTATGAGAGCTTCATAAACTTCCACAACTATTGTTGAAATACTTTGCTTTGATATTTTAAATAGGTACATTAAGCTAGTGTATGAGTCCCCGGTTTCCAAAAAACGGAGTGTTACTGCCAGTCTCTCATTAACAGGGATACTTTGCCGATAATTTGTATTTTTTTTTTGCAACCTTGGGCCCAATTAAATTTATGAAAACCTCAAAATCCACTGCAGACATTTGGCAAACATTTTTGTATTGCCCTGTATCTTCTATGGATAAATCATTAAGTAAATTAGAGGCTCTATAACTGACCCTACTTGTGCTTGTCATCCAGTACCGACGATTCTTCTTTTTCTTTGATTTTAATAATAATGCATCACATAGTACTATAAATGAAGCACATGCAATTTGTAGATCTTCGTCACTCATTATTAATAATATTCGCGGTTTTAATTATTTTTTTTATATATTTAAATAATGGCAGTATAAACACTGAGAACACGATGAACGAAAATGGAAACATCAACGAACACTGACAAACAGAAAATTGTTGCAGTAGTTTAGACGTACTCCGCGCTAAGCGGAATACTTGTTGCAAAATGTTAGTGAACGTTTTGCGCTGTTTGTTGCACCGGTTTGGACCCACCATTAAACCATCTAATGTAGCTCAGACAGTGTTATATTTAAGGGTCGGTGAAAATCGGCTTGGTATTTAACTAAAAAGTTCATGGCACTATATTTAAAAAGACAAATAAAATGTATAAATGATTATGGACGCCATGTATTTGTGTTTAATAAATACAGGTTATGCCATTAGCTTGCCAGCTGAAAGTAAGGAAAAAATTACAAGAATGAAATTAAAAATAGTGACTTTTAATGTAGATAGTGAACAGGAACTTGTCCCTATTGATTAACACAATTAGGTAACAATTTCAAAATTTTTATAAAAAAGAAATTAATTGAATTAAATTAAATAACTGGAAAGTGACTTTTTGTACATGTACTAAATTTATATTAAATTTATAATAATATATAATATATAGGTAAAAATGTTCACACTTATCTGTTTCGATTAGACGGTCGAGGATTTTACAGCACTAAACTGAAACGTGGTTGAGAAAGTGGCATTTACTGGGTGTTGTCGTTCATTCCAGAGCCCCATAAGAACGTGGTATAGATGTCTGGTTGATTCTAGTTTTCTCCAGATCTACTGACTATTCTACTGAGTACCATATGTGGTGTTCTCCCGATCTCGGATCTAGTTAAAAGATGGAAAAATAGAATATCTAGATAAAAAAATCTAATATGGCCGCTATTTTGACAGCATGGCTATAAACGGAAAAACCTTTTTAGTGTTACCAAAACAAAAAACAATTCATAAAACTCACGTAATAATCTGCAAGCGAGATGTTAAACCTGCAAAGTCACCTTATAAAGCAATACTAAATTTCCAAATATATTGAATAATTACCTTTAGTCGCCAACAAAAAACACAGACAACTCGATATCACACCTCAAAAATCTAAAACGGAACGCTGAGCATTTCAAACCTATTAATAGGCAATTCCATTGCAACTCTGCGCAAAAGCGAACGTATTGAATAAAATTCCAACAACAGCTCGTGAAATACGGAAATTGTTATTGAATGTTGTTAAGATCTCGGAATTAGAACATAAACGTTATTTGTAATATTACAATTGTGCAATATTTGGTCGACAAAATACCATTTTGAGTAGTACTTTTTTAAAATAGGCTTCCCTGACGTCACAGTAGAATTCGTGAGATTATGCAAAAAACTAACGTCACACATTTGTGAATCACCCTGTAATTAAACATATGTTTAATTGTACGTATGTAATAATGTATAACAGAAAATTTTGTTTGCAACAGAAATTCAATCTAGCTCGTAAGTTAAAAAATAATTCTGAAAAATTGGGAATCTTCAATTTGTTTCAGTATATCGTGCAAATACGATAATTATCGTGCTTCTTGCAACACTGCTCTCGCCGTTGACATGATTCCTTTTAATTTTAGTCGAGGGAAATGCGCAGTAAGACCAAATCGTGAATACTCCGCTCTTTTCCCCATAGTTGCAGAATACAGCTCCTGGTCGACATTTCACTCCAACGTATAATTCTCTAAACTTTATTTCTAATATCCTACTATGAATTATTCCTACCCCGGCACCGGTCTACTAGATGTATAAACGCCACCACTCCGGACCCGCGTGTTTATTTTGTTTTAATTCTAATTCTCCGTATATAGACGGTCGGGGTCGCACATGTTGTGTCACATACGGCCATTTTGAAAATCCGCTAGTGCATTTGTGTATTTGCATAATTGAAAGCAAGTTTTTGCTTCGTTTTAAGTGACAGCTTTAGTTTTAATAAAGGAATTTGTTTGGGGATCGTTCAAACGCGCGTCTAATGGTCTTTGTCCCCCTTCTACCGTGGTGTCGTTGAACGAGCCATTTTATAGTTGTTGAGCTTAGATAGACGATTTATCGGTTTTTCGCTTATTTTAATATTTTTTATTGATATATGTTTTACTTATTCATTTTGATTAATACAAAATTTTCTCCATCAATCCTAGTTTTTTAGAATGATTTTTGTTTTTAAATAACGATATTGTTACAAAATAAAATAAAAATCTACGCATATGTTTTATATTTTAATAATATTTTAATTTACATGGGAACAAAACAAATCATTTCAATTTATTTTGACGAGTATACTCACCATGCACTGTTAAGAGGTTAAAATCAAGTATGTCCTTAAAATTCCAATCTCCAAATACTGTTTTGTATTTTATACATTTAGAGTATGTTTTGATTTTAACGTGTATTATCTATTCTTGTGTTTCTATTCCTGCGTTATTGTTTTATTGTGTTATTGTTTCTATTGCTGTGTTATTTAAAACTATATTTGTAAAACTATATCTGTATTTTACATTACTTGTCTATCACTCTTCATTATAATGGCTCCAATAAAATATTTCGGCTGTGATAATTACATAAACAAAAAAAAAACTTCTCATCTTGCCAATAATGCAAGATATAGAGACGTTTTAATAAATATGAGAGCGCTTAGAGAAGTTGAATGGATTGAACCAGTGCTATTCTGCGTTTTGACGTCAAGGTAAATATTACTTTACATTAGAAAAATAAAAATATCCGAATTGATATAATATATTTATTCCAATAACTTTTTAAGGTAATCCAGAGACTGTATATCATAATGAAAATCGAGAAAATGATGCAGGGCGATTAAAGCTACTAACTAACCAGTCAACGTGTTGCTATTCGACAACGTATTTGAAAAATGGCAGTCTTAAAATTGTGAATGCAGTTTCATATTTTTTGCCATACAGAAAACCTTTTAACCCAGAACACTTAGAAAATGGACTGTTTCCTGAAGAAGCTATTGGACTTATCAGATTGCGGGCAAGTCCAAGACCTTTAACAGCCCATGATAACGAAGCACTTATAATTATCCTGACCAAACGTCTTAAGGTGGGTACACATCTGAGCACGTACGCGTATAAGGCAAGTAGAGGCCAAACCGAATGCCTCGTGCTGCGCATTTTGTACACACGAATGGTAGACGCACGAGGCACTGTTCTCTACTGATCCAGTGAATTCGCGAGAACGGAATCGTACGCTCAGAATTCTCGTATAATTAAAACAAAAATGGAGGTCTGGTAGTTGAGTGGCTGTTTTATTATTTTGTCTTGCTCTTCATTATATATCTCGCTGATTATATACATCCAGGAGAAGCAAAACCTTTTCCTGACTCCACTTCGTGCAAAATAAACCTTAAAAACTCGCTATAATCTATTCGGTACAAATTCCTTGTCCAGACTGAGTACGTACTGCGCACTGCCTCCCTTTGATGTACCGCCAACAAACGGATCGGGGCGAGGCCGCACGGCGCAATTTTCCGCGCCTCGGAAGCTCGTCCACATCTGCATGCTCAATGCTCATGCGTCCTCGGCTTGTCTCATACGCGTACGTACTCAGATCTGTACCCGCCTTTAGAAACACAAACATTTTTGACTTTGATTCTCAAAATGTGAAAGATGAAGATTACAAATGTTTGAGTGGATGTTTGAGTGGACTGAATATGGTACAATTTAATGGTCTTGCCGAACAAAACGATGACATTTCGCATTAGAAAGACCTCAGCAAGAAAAACTGCATTACTTTTTTTCTTGTCAAGGTTAATATTAACCCCAGCCAGAAAGTTCTGGAAATAATGTTCAGCATGAAACCAAAACAGCATCCCCGCGTAAATGAGATAGTTTATGGTGTTTTGGTTTCAATAACTAATAATTTGGTTTCTCGTTATCTTGGTTATGGACACAAAAGTCGTTTAGATTACGCCCAAACTACACAGCACTACTACATTTAGTAGACTACGTCGCGCTTAAGCAGATTCTTTGGTAGTTTTAGTAGCTCCCACTTATCTACATCACTAAAAACCTTCAGATCACTTATCTCAGAGAAAAACTTACTGTATTCAAAAACGGGATAATCTGGGTAAGAATGACAATATTATATATGACCGAGGCTACAAACACCACTTGTTTATTCCAAAATGTAGACCTTAACGGTTTTATGCCACATTTCATGCCAAATGGTCAGCGACAACTGACGACACA